CTTGCTCTAATGCATCTTTTGAAGCAAAAATTAATATAAGACCCGGTCTTTTGTTTGGGGAAATATTTGATTGTATTGCCATTCCAACTGCATAAGTACTAGGTTACCTTTGCAGTGATATCTTCCCCCCTTTTTACTGGCTGTGCTTGCAACCTGTTGTTGAAAATTATTTCAGGGTACTGTGCTTGCTGGCTGTTGTCATTGTTAATTCATGACCTGTAGAGGAGTTGGACAGTACAGAAGGTGCAGGCAGAGATGTCAGTTGGCAGATGCCTTGTTAGAAAGGCTGACTGCGATTTGATAGAGCCAAACAAGCTGGGACCAGATACCTGAACAATCACTTTGGAATAACAATCAGCAGCTATTTATCAGGAGCTCTTCTGCACGTACCAAATGGCTGTAAAAAGTTTATGCAGATCAGCCTCTCTAGTGACCTTACAACTTAGCCTCTTCAGTGGCAGACTTATTATTCACAAACAGAGGAAAAAGGGACTCGTAGCAAAATGACGAAAGTTAGAGTAATGACATTTGATTTTCATCTCGGATTCTGAATCTCCCTTTTGGGGCTGGCGGAGGCTTAGATTTCTATTCATTGACATGCAGAACAATCCTTTTTTGAATATTTCTCCATCTATAATTTTTGGGAGTTTTGAAACTCTGCTGATATTTGTATGACCAGTGTTTGCTTCCCTAAAGTGAACAATTCAGCTGAAATACTTGTTCTTTTTTTTGCTGCCTCGATGTCTAGACTTTTTAAAAAAGTTTTTAAAAGAACTGTAGAATTAGAGAGCTGTGTTGGGGGCGGGTGTAGAGTTGGTTCAGGCACCGAGCTAGAAACTGGGAGATCATGAGTTCTAATCCTACCTTGGGCATGAAGCCAGCTGGATGATCTTGAAACATTCATTTTCTCTCAGCCCTAGGAAGGAGGCAAGGACAAACTACTGCTGAAAATCTTGCCAAGAAAGCAGCGGGGACAAATTCAGGCAGTTGGCAGGAGTCAACACTGACTCAAAGGCATAAATAACTAAAATTAAAAAAAAAGAATTAATTTAGGAAAGTAACTGCTGTTCTGGGTATATGGAATATGATATATATGTGGAATTTGATGCCCTCCAGTGTTATGCTTCTTCATTTGATCTCCATTGTAAAAAAAGGGAATTGTCAAAAAGTGACCGTGTTTTCGTGACACGGTGCAAAACAGGCAGTCAAATTTTAAGCTAACCAGTTATGCAAGCTCAGAAAATTAAGGCAATGTGTGGTTTAGTTAACCATGGATAAGCATGGGCAAAAATAGCCAACCTAAAAACTACAAACCGTGATCAAGTTCAACAGTGAGCAGAATATAGAGCCATGAAAACATCTGGACAGTTTGCTGAATATCCTGCTGCAAAATCAGCCGTGAAACACACATTGTTTAAGAAGATTTCAAGCATGCTTAATACTATCTGCCACTTAATTGCTAAATATTATTCATAATATCGTTATTAGGGACCTTTCATTATGAAATGAAAAGGTCAATGGGCATTCTCTGATGAAGAATTTCTTCTGAGAACTGTAGTTTGTGCAAACTGGGCACATCATTCTTCCCAAACAAGTGGAGATGTCTAGACTTGGTAGCTTTTATGCCAGCCCATAATCTTTTAATTAGCAGGCTTAATTGTTTAAGAGCCATTTAAATGTTTTGTGTTTCCAAAGCTTTGAGATAGATAGATGGATGTGTGGATAGATAGATAGCTCACTCTGTATTTGTGTATATGCATTGTTTTTATTATTATTATTATTTTGGTTTTCTCAAATGAAAAGCTTTGTTCATTTTGATTCAGTTGGTGTTTTGTTTTTATTTTTTGAATATTGCTTTTCTGGCCGTTTCTTGGAAGCTGACTTTTTCTTGTTCTGTTTTCTTGTCTTTACCTAGGGACATTATTTGTCATAGCTTGTAATTAAGACAAAATCAGCCCATTTCTTGGAAACAAAGCACCCATACATGAACAGTCCATGTGTGTGTGATGCATGCTTGTGTGTGTGTGTGTGTGTTTGTGCATGCATATTTGTTTCCTATAACTAAAACTGCACAGAAAGAATGTTTTTTCAGTCATCTGATAAATCTCTCCCAACAATCTCCTGTGCAGTAGATGTTGGCAGTTCCCTAAAGCTGCTGTATTACATCCCAGGACTGTTGCCATCCACATTTGCAATGTGATCTTAGGAAAAGGACATCTTTGATTTAAGAAAGTTCTGAAGTGTGGTCTATCCATAAACCCTGATGCTCCAAAACACCTTCAGGTCTGAAGCTGGTTTTCCTGTTGATTTTGCTTTGTGAGAACATTATAACCTACCGGTAGATGCACCAAGCACTTTCCCTGAAGGACATTGTTCTCTGCAGATACATTTTGAAGAAAACGTATTGGGAAAGAGCACCTAGTGATAAACTTACCATTACCAACTCTCCTTTTTGTCTCCCATGCATTCTTATTGGGAACCCAATAATCTGTCTGATAAAATGATAGATACAGAAGCACTCCATTAGGGCTTATGTTGTAATAAATCTGCTAGTCATTAAGGTTTGGCAAGCTATTGTTAAAAATAAATCATTTTTAGCCTTCTAAAATGATGGCTTTGATTGATCAACTTTTTTAAAAAAAATAATCTCTTTTCTATAGCTGCTTATAAAAATGTAACCTGTTTAGCCTCATCTTACAAAGTATATCTTCCAAGCAGAACGACCCTTTTGCAAAGGGATTTTGACACGGTAATCACCTAAACATCCAAGAATCCTTTAAAAAAAACAGAATTATGTTTTGTGGGCAAAATTTCCTAAAATTATTAGTTTAGCAAGCTGTACACAATAAGGAGACTGTGCTCTATCAAGGACTAAATCTTATTTAATTCAGTGCAATTTACTGAAAGAAGGCAAGTGTAGGATTGCCTGATTTTCAATCAGTTGAGACTTCAGCCCTACATATGTTTAACCTGAAAGTAAGTTTTTCAAATGTGGTGGCATCTATTTAGTAGAAGTGTATTTTATTGTCTAGTGGATAGATAATGTGAGAAGTGGTGTTAATTAGATTGGCTGCAATAATCTTTATATCAATGCTCAAAATGACTGAAACTTCAGTCAGGGGGAAAAACAGTATATAATGTGATATGCAATTCATATATAAAAGCATGATGAAAAGACTTCTTCATTGGGCCTCTTATTATGTCCTGCCTCAATAAAAAAAAATTTAACAAGAGGAATGAACTAAAGTGATTCCCAGACCAGTTTTAACCCTATCAGCAATGGGTGTTATTAATTTAATTTGGGAAAGAAAAACACCTTAAATAAACATGGTTTATCAGGTACTTAGGAGCCAAGGACTTGGCAGCACAAGGAAACAACAACCAATGATTTAATAGCTGGCCATCAACACCCCAATCAATAAATATAAATACTATGCATAGAATAGCCCAAAGCATACATTACAGTAGAGAGAAGTTCCCCGAGGATGGGGAAATACATAGGAAGAACGGTTGCAGGAATTGGGTATGGCCAGTCTAGAAAAAAGAAGGACTACCGGGGACATGATAGCAATATTCCAATATTTGAGGGGTTGCCACAAAGAAGAGGGGGTCAATTTATTTTCCAAAGCACCAGGAGGCAAGACAAGAAACAATGGATGGAAACTAATCAAGGAGAGAAGCAACCTGGAATTAAAGAGAACCTAACAGTGAGGACAATTAACCAGGTGGAACAGAAGTTGCCTTCAGAAGTTGTAGGTATTTCACCACTGGAGGATGGGTTCCAGCACAAGTCCAAAAGCCCAGAAGACTAAAAACTTTGATCCCGGTGATTGACTCAGATTGGGTCTTGCAACATTATCCTGGGACACATGTATTTGCCTTCATTCATTCATAAAAAACAACCTTTCAAATTGCTTCCATTTTAGATATTTTTTTTCATTCATTGCACTTTCGTAACAGCCCATGGTAGTTGTATATCACTTGGCCAGTAATACATATATTCCTATTTGGAAATTACATTTGGTAGATTTAGCTATTTTCTCATATCGGAATGGAAATAATTTGAAAATAGTTTCCATTCTGACAAGCTCGTTTCCAAAATCTAGATGGACTCCATTGCATGGCCAATGAAATGTCTGGGAGATAGTGAGATTGTCAGACCTCCCCTTATGAAATTGGTCTTCACACTCTGCCAGTTTTTCCTCCATCTGCTTTCATGGTAGCAGCAATTGTAATAAGGAAATTATATCTGAATTGCTTGTGTTTCTTTGGAACTGTTGCGAACCAGAGAAATGTTGTGTTGCCATTGTCCTTGGAATATATGTCCCAAATATTTCTGAGCTAGAATGTAATTCTACCACCCATCCATCCAAAAAATACTGATTTGTTTCTGGAAGAAATAGATAGCATTGATTTCAGTGCATATATGTTTTTTTTTAAAAAAATGCAACAATAATGTAGATAAATATTACATATAAGCAAACTCATACTCTTGGTTTGTCTGAAGCATAATCTCCTGCCACAAAAATAAATAAATAAATAAATGGGATGGGGGAGAGAATTTTGGAAAGAGAACCATCAATCAAATGGTGGGGAAAAAACATGACACAAGATGCCCCCCCCCCTCCTTGAGCAAAGAGATACCCTGCAAAGCTTCTGAAGGTAGCACTTCTTAACAAGATGAAATGTTCTAAAGTCCTGCTGCCTTCTCAAAGATTATGGATTTATTATGAGTAAACATAATAAAGGTGCTTTTTCCAAAAGACAACTGGACTGCCTTTGTTTTTCCTTGAAGATGTTTTGCTTCTCATCCAAGACGTTTCTTCAGTTCTTTTGGAAAAAGCACCTGTGGGACAACCATGATGTGGATGACTGAGAGTCTCCGTAAACTCTCATTTTGCAAATTGTTCTAGAGTGACTAAGAAGAACAAACTGCGAACTGTTGTTTGTATTAACATTAATTCATGCTTTCCTCCTGTCCTGCCCCTTGCCCTTTGCAGATGTACAGTATATTAAGAGAAGAGACATCATCCTTAAGAGAGAACTGGGCGAAGGTGCTTTTGGGAAGGTGTTCCTGGCTGAGTGCTATAACCTCAGTCCCACCAAGGACAAGATGCTGGTAGCTGTGAAGGTAAAACATGAAGGTTCATGCTCATCTTCCAAAAATGGCAGCTCATATCAGATTCTGAAGTTCTTCCTATGGTTTCCTTTGAAGCCAAAGTAGCTGTCAAGGTTCCGACTAATGAAACCAAATAAATCAGAACTCCGAGGCTTGAAGTTTCCTCAAAGCACATGTTTGTTGGATGCATAATATTGGCACGGTCAAAAGTGAAACCAATGCTAAACTTCCCCTTAAAGATTCAATGTATCTAAATCTAACAATTCCCTCCCCTTTGCTATGCGATAGATCACACTACCCAATCGAAGTAATTGGCGAGCTCCATTAACTTCTTTTCTCCATCTTCCAGCTTCTGTGGGAATGACCTTGGTTCCCCATGGGACCACTCTATGTTTAGTTTAGCAGCGCTGTCGTTTTCCTTCCCCCCCCTTCCCCCCAGCCTGTGGCAACTTAGAACGACGAAGATGTCTTCAGCCGGTTCATTTCAGAAGTTGATACTAGCAACATCGGTCACTTCAGAATGCTTGTGGCTACTTTTCTGACAAGGGTAGACCACTTGGTGGTATTAGGCAAAGGAATTCTGTATTTATTCAATATGATAACTCTGTAAACCGCTTACAGAGGGGCTGTAAAGCACTGTGAAGCGGTATATAAGTCTAAGGGCTATTGCTATTGCTAACAATTCCTCCTAAGCATAATTTCAATAGATAAAGAAAATATTTTCAACAAATGACTTGGGAGGTTTTGCCCTAAGCTTTAAAAAAATATGGTTTTTGTCTAGCTCTAGTAGTAGAAAACGTGTCTATTTGTTTGGATGGGGTGAAGATAAAGTAAAGGGCAAAAGAAAAGAGTTCTGTTGCTCTCAGGGCTTCATGTTAACATCAGGAAGATAGTAGAAAGCTAAAAATAATCAAGAGCCTAGGATGAAGGCAGATGTTTTTAGGTCTGAACAGAATACCATCATCTATCTAAATATTTGTGGTCAGCTTCTGCACTGATAGAAAAAAATATGAAATAAAATTATGTGATGCCTTGAAGAAATGGGGGTAAAATGTAAGATATTAAATCTGTTTTTTTTTTAAATGTATTTTCTGTTTTGGAAGGAAAGAAATCCCAACTTTCAAGAGCAGTTTCTTAGCACTGCGTAATAAATTTTGAGAAAGGATGACAGTTAGATGTAACTGAATTTTCTTTTGGATCCCTCCACAATAGATCAAGATTTTTAAGAGACATTAAATAAATTGACTGAATTGAAGAATTCCTCCACCCCCCCCCCAAGCTTAAAAACACTTTGTGAAGTTCCTTCCAAACTGTATTCCTATAGCAAATATCTCAGGGGTTGCCACAAAGAAGAGGAGGGGTCAACCTATTCTCCAAAGCACCCGAAGGTAGAATAAGAAGCAATGGATGGAAAGTAATCAAGGAGAGAAGCAATCTAGAACTAAGGAGAAATTTCCTGACAGTTAGTATAATTCATCTGTTGAACGACTTACCTCCAGAAGTTGTGGGCGCTCCATCACTGGAGGTTTTTAAGAAGAGATTGGACAACCATTTGTCTGGAATGGTGTAGGGTTTCCTGCCTGAGCAGGGGGTTGGACTAAAAGACCTCCAAGGTCCCTTCCAACTTTTTTATTCTGTTATTACTGAGCAAATAGATACACATTGATATTAAGCAGTGACCTTCAGTCCATTGTCCATAAGGTCAATGGGGGACCCAGAGTAGGTCTTGACAACCAAGAAACTTGAACCTGGCGCTTTTGTTTGTAGCATGCAAAGTGTCTTTTTTTTAAAAAAATAAATAAATAAAGGGGAGTTGGAAACCTGGCAGGTGGCTTGCGAGGAGCCCAGAGATTCATTGGCATAAACATGCCTCTCCTTGCCTGCCCATGAGCCAAGCCACAGGAATCTGAATATATCCAATTTGTGTTGGACTCTGTTGGATTCCTTTCGCTTATCAGAAGAATTGTGAGCAAGCAGGTATTCTTTTAAGCTCCCGGAATCTGACATTGATGATTTAAAAGGTTAGAATCAGTGGGAGACATAACCATTTGAAATTGCAGATGAAAACTCATCCGAGTGATTTTTTTTTCTCCACATTTAAATAAGAGTATGCAAGGCATAGAAATACAGAAAATCAAGGGCAATGTTTCTTGCCTCTCATCCCCTCTTAAATTGTACAGATAATATTTTGTAATAAAACAACAACGTGCATTTGGTTTAATATTCCGTAGCTCCCACTCTGGTTCAATGACTGACATCTGTTATGCATATTCTATGGAGGATAAAAATGCTAAATAAATATAATTATGTACTCCCAGTTTATTGGATAGGGGTGATAAAATTTCGAAGAGCCTTGCCTATGGATAACAAAATAGGTCTGGAGTCTCAATTTTGACTTTAGTATTCATAACTAATTTTGAGAACAAATTGTTTCATCTTTAGTTCAAAACCCTCATGAGGAAATATACAGAATTCAGGCACACCGGCCCCAGTAACAATTCCATACATGCACTAGACAAAATTGCCTAATCATAGCAAACCAGAATTTGGTTGAGAAGCCACTTTCAGTACAAATGGGAGATTGATTCTCCCAGGAAATTATTATGAAGCTCAAAGAATGGAAACAAGGTTTTTGGAAATGAAGAGTGAAATGCTTTGTTTTTATTACTGCAGTTTTTTTTCCAAGTATCCACAATTGCCACCCACCCATAAGAAAAACTTTACCATGAGCACATCCTTCTTCAGAATAAAGGCAGCAAAATGATTTTCTTCAAAATAAAAGGCTTCACTGGTTCAGAAGAATCATAATAATGAGATATGGAGTCTTTGCCTTTAAGGTTATAAGACTTGGATTCTTACTGGGCTAGAAATAAGTAGAAGCTACTATCTTTGAGATTATTGACTGCTTTCTCTCTGTGTCTCCCTCCCTCCCTCCCCCCTATTGAGTGGTCGGATGGTATCCAGAGAAATTATTTCATAATTGCTGGCATTGTTTGTGTTTCTATAATGTATGGACCCCAGAAACCCCCATTTCTTTCCTCAGTGTTTCACTTAGGCACTAGTTTTATTAGACATATTATCTAATAGATGCCATCTGGATCTACTCTAGATATGACAAATAGAAGAGAACATGTGTAGCTCATGGTTGAACTGTGGAGGTCTTGATGCTTTCTCAGCTTGGCTGTTTTCTTGCAGATATTTCATCAGTGCACTGATGATGTTACCTAGTTGGGTAATAAAACAACTGCAAGAAAGCAACCACGCTCAGAGGTCACCAATAAACCCACAGATATGAAAAGGCTAACCAGAGAAGTTCCACTGAATTTCCTTAATACATTTCCTAGAAAATAACATAAAAGATGGCTCAAAGATGGATCTTAGAGAGTTCCTCCGTAACACTTGCTCCAGGTTATTAATTTCTTTTTTTAAAGGAAAAAGAAATAACTCTCCCCAATCTTGGGAGAAACAAGAATCAATCCAATTGAAAAAAATGTCATTCTCTGATCACATTACCTTGTGTTCCTTCACAATTTCTTGAGTATATTGCCTGAGAATAGAATAGAATAGAATAGAATAGAATAGAATAGAATAGAATAGAATAGAATAGAATAGAATAGAAAGGGACATTGGAGGTCTTCTAGTCCAGCCCCCTGCTCAAGCAGGAGAACCTATACCATCTCAGATAAGTGACTGTCTAGCCTCTTCTAAAAAACCTCCAGTGATGGAGCTCCCACAATTTCTGGAGTCAAGCTGTTCCACTGGTTAATTGTTCTCACTGTCAGGAAGTTTCTCCTTAATTCCAGGTTGCTTCTCTCTGAGAATACATTTGTCCCAAATGTCATGGAAATTGCATGTACCCAGTGCAAAGAAATTGTGTATCATGTTCAAAAGACAAAGCAATATTCCATTGGGTAAGCAGGGATGGAGAAACTGCAGCCTGCATATTGCGTATTGCACATGATTCTACATCTCTTTTTTGTTTTTTCCATTTTGCTGCCAAGATTAAGCAGCAATATGAAGCAATTTTGGCAGCACAATTCTGGAAGCACAAGTTCTTTGGAGGGGGGAAGGATTAAGGTTGGGGATGGAAATGACTTGCCTCCTAGAGGCTGTGTTTTCCAGAATGACTCTTAATGCAAGACGAATTCATATCACATTATTTCTCAAAGACAAAAGCCTACAACAGCGTAAAGACTATTGAAAATTGTGGGATCTTTCAATTCTCATTTTCCTAAGCAAATTTTCCCTCACGGCTTTGATCTCTTATCTGCATTGGCAGGGGAGAAACTTGATGCCAGGACATTTTATATCCCAATATCATCTTGGGATCAGGTCCTTTGGGAACTGTAATTTCCTAAGACTCCTAATTGAACTCCTCAAAGGTATTCTGTCATTGGTGCCTCTGCTGAGCAAATAGCTGTCTATATTAATTCATCCCAACATGCTTCTAAGTAATAAAGAACTTTGGATGTAAAATCATTGTCCTTGACACTTACTGGTAGCAAAGCAAAACAGAAGAACAACTTGCCTAAAACAAAGCAGTAAAGGATCTGGTGACTCATTAAAGACACACGTATTCTTCATCCAATGAGCTTTTATCATGCATCAGGTGCTGAGTTTATAATTCCAAGGTATTTTGTTGCTTTCGCCTTAGCTAACTAATCTATATGCTCCTTTAGAAAATAGCCAAGGAATCCTCTGTGACAGCCAGAATTACGTAGTGGCTGGGCACAAGATTTTCATGCAAAAGTTGCCAGCTCATTTCTTTCAAGTTATCAGTGGAAGCATAGCCCAGTGACATAGCTCATATCTTGAATGGAATGGAAAAGTTCAATCTTAGACATTTCCAAATAGGATTGAATATCCATTGGAAGCATCTGCCAGTCGATCTCAGCCAATGGTGTGACTGACTATAAGCCAGCTTCTCATATTCCAAAGTATTCATCTGTATTTGCTCAATGGACAAGGATTAGTTCATATGACCCAAAATCTGGTTAACAAAGCAGAATAGGAAGGAACATTCTTGTGTTCACATAATGTCCTATGCCCAAGCAAATAAAATATACCCAATGATTTGTTTCATATAACATGCTAAAATATTGGCTGGGTTCCTACAATATGCTGAATCATTGGAAGAATCTTCTCCAAACTCAACAACTAGCAGCTTCATGAACATATCCATGCAGATTTCTTGGTAACAATGTTGAAGTAGCTTGCCATTATGTGGGGGGATTAAAAAAAAAAAAAACACTTTTACCTTATGTCCTTGGCATTTCCTGATATTTTCTCTCCAATTACTAAATAGGGCTAACCCCGCTTAGTTTCCCTTCTAACCAATATTCAGAACTCATATTTTAATCTAATGTAGCACATTGTGTAAACCAATTCTAATTCTTTTTAATCTATATCTAGAATGATACGGGGAGAATTATAGACAATAAGTTTAGAAGTTGTAAGCAAGTTATTTTTCATGACTTTCACCATCTTTCCTATCCATCCATCCATCTATCTTTCTTCTTTTGTTTTTTTTTTTTTTTTTTTAGGCTCTCAAGGACCCAACTTTGGCTGCCCGCAAAGACTTCCAGAGGGAGGCAGAGCTGCTCACCAACCTGCAACATGACCATATTGTAAAGTTTTATGGTGTCTGTGGCGAAGGAGATCCACTCATCATGGTCTTCGAATACATGAAGCACGGGGACTTGAATAAGTTTCTGAGGTAAAGGCTAAATATACTACTGAGTTATAGAAAGGGAAGAATAAAAATTGATAGGAGGGATAGGGCATGACTGCAAATATCTTGACTTCATCAAACTGGGTATGGCTAGTCTAGAGAAAAGAAGGACATGATAGCAGTATTCCAACATTTGAGGGGCTGCCACAAAGATAAGGGCGTCAACCTAGTCTCCAAAGCACCAGAAGGCAAGACAAGAAACGATGGAAACTAATCAAGGAGAGAAGCAACCTGGAATTAAGGAGAAACTTCCTAACAGCAACAACAATTAACCAGTGGAACAGCTTGCCTTTATAAGTTCTGGGTGCTCTATCACTGGAGGTTTTTAAGAAGAAACTGGATATCCACTTGTCCCAAATTGTATAGGTTCTCTTGCTTGAGCAGGGGGCTGGACTAGAAGACCTCCAAGGTTTTTCCCTGCTCTATTCTGATTGATTGATCTTCCCACTGTCCAACCAAGCTTTAGAAACCGTGAAACTGCTTTTCTTCTCCTTGAACCCTCTGTGGTACTATGGCTACTATGCAAATATGGGACTAATTTAACACAAATAGTGGTGTCCTTCACTATTACAGACACTACAAGAAAGCCAGGGGAAGCTATATGGGACTAGCTAGAAATTGTGATTTAAGTCAGGGAAACTGACAAAAGGCTCAAACTAGGGACGAAAACCAAGGAGAACTCATCTGTAATTCAGGGAACATTTCAGACAAAGAAACTCATATCACTCTCACTGCCAAGAAATCATATGAAAAAAACTGGATAATTCATTATCAAGAAATTTCTCCACGCTGTATTTTTGGCAGTATCAATTTATAGCAGCTCTTCACTAAATCTGAGATTTTCAGCCCTAGCACTGATCTTTCCTTCCTGTTTTGTCCTCCTGCTTCCTCAGCCACTTCAAGACATATGGATCCACATAAGGATTTTAGCATGAACTGGGACTTGATACTTTCTTATACTCTGGTCTTTAGTCGGTAATTAATTTGCCAAGAAAGTCCAGCTTCTCCCATGGACTGGATGGTTTACCTTTTCCAGTTCTACAAAAATTCTGCAAAAAAAATAAAAAATAAAAAAAAATCCTAGCCACTCTATCTTACCAGCATTTCCATCAGCATGGAACAGCCAATAGCCAAACACAAAAATGGATGGAGATACTGTTCTTCTGTCATGTTGAAATCAAGGGCTAATGTTCCAGAATGCATGCAGCGGTACTCCCATTTTTCAGTCATGATTATTTGTTATTTCCTAGTATTTAGTTAATTGGACTTTTGCGATACGTGTTGCGTGTGTTTCCTCTCCTGCTACATTGATTAAGCGGGATTGTAAAGTAATTGTGTCAATAATTTAGATGGCAGCTCCACTTCGAGGTTTGAGGTTTTGCCAAGGCAATTATTCTGTTGTCAAAGCTGACACATGACTGGGGTGGGGGTGAGGGGGGGGAAGCAAATCTCCTTCCTCTAGATTTCATTTATTTTAGCTGGCATCCAGAGGACAAGAAATATTGGGATGCTTCCAAAGGCAGGCTTGCCCTCTTCGACGAGATAGAGGAACTCTGCAAAATCTGAAACCTGCAGACTACAGTTGCAGGATGAGTGGAAGAGTTGTCAGTCTTGACATATCTTTTCGGTTTCCATTTCCCCTGTAGTCCTGTTGTCTAAATGTGGGCAACTCAGAGAGATTAAATGCATTTTCCAAGTCAATCTGACAAGCTAGCAAAAAGCCAACAGCTTTGTTCCAGTAGATTTAACAAAGGAATATTGACATATTTCCCCATGCAAGCAAGGCTAGCAGGGCCATTTGTTCCAGGAGCAGGATTTCTCTCCCTTCTTGTGAGAATTGAAGAAACTGAGTGAGATCACAGTGGGGGCCAATGTTTAAGGCCCCTCCAATCCCTTCCCAGTTTGGGACATCAATACTCGCTACTCGTCTGAAGGAAAGGCCAACTGGGTTTTCTTTCCCCGTTAAGAAAATGTTGTTGACTCTGTGGTGCATTTATAGCACCACGTGGGGTGGATTATCCATTTGATAAGGTCGTTACATCTGAAAAGAGCCAAAGTAGCATCCTCCATTTAGTCTACGCGCTGTCATAAAAAGCTTGTTCAAATAAAATGGTTTTTCAGTGTTCCCCTAAGATTCTGGGTAAATGGCTAGTTTCTAGGAGACATGAAGTGTAGTGCTTTCTCCATGCTATTTTGTAAGCATTCAGGCACAAGTAAGGATTGATAGTTTTTTCTGTTTCTTTCAATGAATCAAGGGAACGATTTATTGAAGGAAAGGGATATAGACTAGATAGATCACTTGACATAATAACTCCCTTTTATAACCATGTAATCAATTTGGGGTAGAATTGGGGTGACTGGATGGAGCTGGGCATTTATTGGCTGGATGCCCTTCCTGATGCGATGCAGAGTTTACAGGAGAATTTTTTTTTTCTTTGTGCCCCAGGAGAGAAACATCTGCCAATACCTAGGACTGAACTCCCAACCTTCCTAGTGGAAGGCAAGCATCTTCACCTCTAGGCCACCACGTAGCTCTATTACTCAATGTACCAATGTTCATTTCATATTAAATGAGAAGTTGTGTAACCATGGTTTGCTGAGTAAGCCTCAGTGGCCAAGTTAAGTCATAAACATTGGTTTATCCTTAACGTACACAAACGAAACAAACACGATGCGAAATGTGATTCCTGCCAATATTTTGTTTAGCAAACAAACCTCCAAAACTGCCATTCATTCTTAGAAGGCTATCTAAATTCTTTAGGGATAGAGGTGTTTATGGGGATTCTCATTCGTCCAGGTCATGGTTATCCCAAGGTTGCTTTTTCCAAAAGGCGACTGAATTTTCTTGGGTTTTTTTTTCCTTTGAAACCGTTTCGCTTCTCATCCAACAAGCTTCTTCAGTTCTAACTGACTGGTGGGGAATGATTGGTGAGAATTGATTCCCCAGCAGTCAATTAGAACTGAAGAAGCTTCTGGGATGAAGTTTTCAAAGACAAAAAAAAAAAAAAAAACCAGGAAAGTCCACTTGCCTTTTGAAAAAAGCATCTTTGGGACTAAAGAGAGCATCTGAGTCCTGGCTAGGAAAAGACAGAAGTTTAAAAATCTCTTTCAGATAAAACTGAAAACCCAGTAAGAAAATAAAATGTTGAGTTTTCCAACGGAAAAACTTCCACTGCAATACATAAAGTGAAAAAAAAAACACCTTTCAGTCATACGATTATTGCTTTGTTTCCTGTCAAAAGTGAGGCTTTCCCATAACTTGCAGAAAAAATCCTTGAATTATAAAGACAACTAATGCATCGGGTGGCATCATTTTTTTTAAATTTATGCCATCTGCAGGCATGGGCCTGTACATGTTTTAAGGAGGAGCGATATAAAAGTGCACCATTTTCACTTGAAATCCAATATTTCCCTCCCTGTGTCTCTTATACCAGGGGTCTCCAAACTTGGCCCTTTTATGACACCTGACTGAGGAATTCTGGGAGTTGAAGTCCACAAGTTATAAAAGGGCCAAGTTTGAAGACCCCTGCTTATACAACTCCCGGGAAGGTAGGTTAGCCATTTCTGTGGTTGCCTTCCAGAAGTTGTCTAACATAAAGCTCCTGCAGTGGAGAAATTGAAGCTAAGACGATACACCCCACCTGTGTTTGCATTTGCCTTTTTCACTCTTGCTGTTTGCTGTTTTTACCTTGGGCATTTTAATTTATTACTATGGAGCAATTTTATTATTGTTAGCTGTTGGGAACCTTAGACGTATGCAGTGGCATACAAACCTAATCATATATCCTTCATATCGTATCTCATCAACCCTGGGAAGGTTGAAAATCAAGACTCGTATTTTCAAGCCAGAAGGAGCTTAGGTCTCAGAAGAGAAAGAGCTAGCAGACTGAAATTTTCAATTTGCTGGCTAGGCTGCTGCTGTTGACAAAGGTAAAAATGCCAGCAGCTGTTTTAAAGAAAAAGGAAATGAGCCACAAAAGGGACAGTGCTGCATGCTAGCAGAAAATCACAGCACACTGTTCTTATTAATGATCTCTGGGGCACTACTTCTAGCTGGCGGAATGCTGCTATGGATGATAAGCTGGGCAATTGATCAAATGGCAAAAGTGTAATTCCAGAGTTGGATGAGAAGACCTCCTTCACACGTTCAGGGTCCAATTCATGAAGCATACTGCTTTTCCGTGTGGTTAGCTCATGGCCCTGATACACAATTATAAGGCATTTTGGTGACACCTGCCTGCACTTTGAAGGGATAATGAAAATAGGACAGTATTCACCAATACAGTTATGAATCAAATCAGTTTCTTAATACAATTTTGGCAGCAGAAGCAAAGTATGCTACCAAGAGGTGACTTTATTTTTGTCAGTCAGGTTATCCATCATTCTAAACTGTTTGTTTTTTTTTTGGGGGGGGGATATCTTCTCTTTCTACCTGATCTTGCAAAACAGATAGTTTGGAATTCATACGTTATTACTCAGGGTTTTTTGGGTTTTTTTTTACAAATATTTTTCCCCGAGAGGTCTTTGCATTTATACTGCATGCATGTTTTCCCCAAGTACTGTGTTTGCTTAAAATATGAGACTACACTGCAGGCTTCAGATTATACTCCAATTAAATATTAGCCAATATTTCTCAAGAGGCGTTTGAGATACTGTTTGTATATCCTTCTCCTCCTTCTTTCACCCCCCCCCACTTCCCAAACAAGTCACTTTCAGATGTAAGATTTTTTTATCTTGACACGTCACAAGACTACAGATTGACAGCCCTGAGGCCAGAAATGTTTCACCTGTCCTAAGCTAGGCTACCAAGAGAGGCCACCAGGAATTCTGTACTGCAGATTGGAGGGAGATTGCTTTAAAGCCTCATGAACAGAAAGTTCATGATTAAAAAGAAAATCAAACAAACTATTTGTTGTTGGCCAGATTTCATTGAATTTTAACTAAAGTTTTTAGGATACAAATAGCCTAGCTGTCTTTTCCCAGAGAAGGAAGATACTGGTGCTTCCTACAAATCTGGAGCAGAGATTGAAGATTGCTGCTCTAAAAAAAAAAATCTCCTTCCCACAATGGAGGAATAGATTGAATGTCATGGTCCCGACAGATGAAACTCTTCAAAGAACTTTGAGGTATTGTCTACCTTAAAGAATCTTTATTTGAGAAGCATGGCATCCGCACGAACACAGTCCAAGCAAAAAACTGGATTCCCCTCCCCTGAGCACATAGTATCAAAGCACAATTCCCTCCTCCAATTAACAGTCATAAATCACATTCTCCAATTAGTTTGAAATGCAGGCTCTCCCTCCAGTTCTCCAGCCTGCCAATTCTTATCATCTCTTATTTCATTACCCTTGGTTCACACCTTAAGTCCAGTATTATTATTAGTCTATCTAACCAGTGGTTCTCAACCTGTGGGTCAGGACCCCATTTGGGGTCGAACGACCATTTCACGGGGGTTGCCAAACAACGCAGTCCGCCATTTTTCCCCCCTTTTCCTTAGCTGTGCTACTCCCTTTTATTCTATTGGCTTTTGAAAGCCAATAGAATAGACTCTCTTGAATAGAGTTTAATTCTATTGGCTTTCAAAAGCCAATAGGAATTGTCCAGGCTGTCTCTGCCCTGCTGAGCCCTCCAAAAGTCCCATTCTGCAAATGGTGCTGCACTATTGAGTAGTCCTTGACTTACGACCGGTTGAGTAGTCCTCGACTTACGACCGGTTGGGGGTCGCGGCATTAAAAAGGTGGAGAACCACTGATCTAAACTCTCATGCACATTCCTCCCTCCCCCCAGCATATACTGTAAGATAAATAAAAGGATATATATTTATTGTAAAATAAATAAAAAGATATATATATATTCAGAAATATTTTTTTTAAAAAAAGAGAGGTGTTGGTTGTTCTGTAATCTGCTCCGTTGGACCTGACCCCTGTCTTACTTCCCCCAGGGCACACGGGCCGGATGCAATGATCCTCGTGGATGGACAACCTCGGCAAGTCAAAGGGGAATTGGGACTTTCTCAAATGCTGCACATTGCTAGCCAGATTGCCTCGGGGATGGTCTATCTTGCCTCCCAGCACTTTGTACACAGAGACCTGGCCACGAGGAACTGCTTGGTGGGAGTTAATCTACTGGTGAAGATTGGTGACTTTGGAATGTCCAGAGATGTCTACAGCACGGATTATTACAGGGTAAGGCAGACTCTGAGAGGATCGGTTGGCGCGAGTGGCCCAAATGGAGGTTGAAGAAAAGAAACCGGGTTAGCAGCCTTGTTCCATCACTGACTCACTGGGTCAGGATGGAGCAATTTTTAGGAGGGGTGGTTCTGTCACAGCAATTAACCAATGAAGTGCACAAATTCTGATGTTATATACCTTGGGATTTTATCTACTGGGTTTAAATAGCAGAAGAAGGGTGATGCCTTTTACATCAAGTCACATAAATAGGAGAGATGTCCACTATTAAAAAGCCACGTTCTGGCCTAGATAGTCACATCTAGGGGGAAAAAAGAGACACATAAATGTTCAAATTCTTCTGAAATAATTAAATGTTAGGTACTGGCTAATGGTTACTGGGCCATTCTGAGAACAGAGTTCCACAAAATCCTACAGTTCCTATTATAGTTTATATACTTCAGATGTAAAGAAGCTGAAGGTCAAATATGGGTTCCCCCCCCCCATTATTGCATCAAAAACTGGGATTCCTGCATATTTACGTCTTGCTCTTAACAGCAGAATAAAAGCCTCCTTAAAAGCCGAGAGAATTATATCAGGCAGAAAAGTTCAAGAAAATCAACTCTTTGGCATGCTGTTGTTCTCCTTTTGTTCATGAACATTTTAATTGTGCAGCACTGGAACATGGCAGGGCTGAATAAAAATGCATGTTCATTCATGAGTGGCAAATTAGAAAAGACATTTTGGCAAGTTTTGAGATGAGATGGCATGCATCGGGTGACTGCTTAGCCTCCCAGCGCCTAGATGCTATGTGATTCTGGGACAGTTGGGGGCAGAACAGGGTGTCACTGTGTTCAAATTATTCCAAGGAAAGAAAAAAAAAATCACCATTCTTAATGAGGTGATGACATACTTCTGCCAATTATTAGCAGATGCATCTGAATAAAACTGGCGGAGCCCACCAAGGGACAGCATTCCACAAATGTGATTCAGTACAAAAAAGCTTGATTCTATCTACAGCAATACTACAGCAGGGCCAATCAAGCTGCACTTCAAACTATAGAATCTACTATAGCTAAGAAACCAAAGCTAAGAAGCAAAAGACCTTAGTTTCATGTACTTCCTAGTAGGCATGGACCCAAGTTGCAAATTAGTTAAGCAGCACTTAAAATTTGAAGGACAATTGAACTACTAGTTGCTGTTTTTTTCCTCTTCTTCCTCCCCTCCTCCTCTTCTGTTGGGACTATTCAACATCAACTGAAACCTATCGATGCCCTCTCTTGAATATCAGGAGCCATTTTTTTTTCATCCAGAATCCATTCCACATTTTTATTTCTTTGTTGTTTCCCCCATATCTGTGAACTAAAAATTCAGCCATGTAAAGTATTGCCGGTTCCGTCTGCTCTATGCTTAAATTGCTCTACAGTTGTGAAAGATTTCCATAATGATGTAAACCCGAAGCACAATGGAAACCTTTATTTTTGCATGATGCTCAGAGAACATCTAGGTCTGGGGGAATTTGATGGCTCATCAACTAGTACTGAGGATGGATCAGGCCAATTCTTTTCCGCACAAGAGATGGGGAAAGACTTATTAATGACAACATCACTTTGGCAACAAAGCATTGGACTTAACTGCAATCAGTTCGATATTTATGAGCATTCCTAATTTTAAGCGGAACCTCTAGAAAGAACCTCATAAGAAATGGGACCTCTTGATTATCTCAGACTTTAGGTTAAGGGTTCCACATATGCACATCATACACTGCATAAATTATGCCTGGAGACAAAGGGTTGTCTTCAGAAGTTTTTGGGTCCTCCATCACAGGAGGTTTCTAAGAAGAAGTTGGATGGCCATTTGTCTGAAATGGCATAGGGTCTCCTGCTTGAGCGGGGAGGGTGGGTGGGTGGGTTGGACTAGAAGACCTCCAAGGTCCCTTCCAACTTTTCTGTTATTCTCCTGTTTCTTTGGCTCACCCTCAACCTGTAGAAGCCTTCTGTGACTGTTGTAAAAAAAAAAAAAAAGGTGGCAATGGCATGGGGAAAATGCTTTCAAACACATGTAAAGATACGTAATTGACTCGTAAGAAGCATTCCTTAAAACAAAGAAAGAAAGAAACAAGCATAATAATTTAGTTATTTAATGCATGTGTTGCCCATCTCACTATTGAGGACTCTCGATAGAAGGGTCCAGATTTCCTAGAAAAGCCATACAGTTATTTCTCTCTTTTCTTTCCCCTTGCTGTTCCATCTGCATTCACAACACCCTCATTTACCCACATTTCACTACAGTCATTCTTTCTTCACCCCAGAACAAGCCGATCCTTGCGTTTCGCCAGGTCTTTCATGAAAGAAAAGACACTGATAAATTAAAGAGAATCCAGTAGAGGGCAACAAAGATGATTAAAGGATTGGAGGCCACGAGGAAGATTAGGCAAACTTAATACGGGAGGCTTATGGAAAAAGCAACAGGAAGGGTAACTGATAAGTGTGTGTAAATGATGAAAATAGAAATAATAGGCAATTTAGGGTCAGTTATTGTGCTCTCTAGCTGGTGCAAACACAGTTTAGACAAGCAAATAATTTGTTGGGGTAAAGGATTGGATGATTAAGTGAAGACCAATTGCAGGAATTGGGTATGTCTAGTCTAGTGAAAAGAAGGACTAGAGGTGATATGATAGCAGTGTTCCAGTTTTTGAGAGGCTGCCACAATGAAGATTGGGTCACCCTATTTTCCAAAGCACCAGAAGGCAAGATAAGAAACAATGGATGGACACTAAACAAAAGGAGAGAAGCAACTTAGAACTAAGGAAAAACTTCTTAACAGTGAGAACAATTAACCCGTGGATCAGCTTGCCTTCAGATGTTGTGGGTGCTTCATCACTGCAGGTTTTTAAGAAGAGATTTGTCTGAAATGGTATAGGGTCTCCTGCTTGAGAAGGAGGTTGGACTAGAAGACCTCCAAGGTCCCTTCCAAACTCTGTTATTCTGTTCATTTGAAATTTTTCAGAGGACACAGGTAAACTCATCTAGTTTGGGATCAAGGGCAAAAGAGGTTCTCTTTATAGTAAATGAGCTGACAATTACAGCAATTTAACCTCTGCTTTACAAAGCAGATATATGCTAAGCAATGAGGAGAAATACATTTCTGATTGTATAATATTATCTTTCTATCCTGAGCAGGGAGCAGCCTCCCTAAGCACCGACTAGAAGCAGTGTTTCTCAACCTTGACCATTTTAAGGCATGTAGACTTCAACTCCCAGAATTCCACAGCCGGCAATGCTGGCTGTGGAATTCTGGAAGTTGAAGTCCACATGCCTTAAAATGGTCAAGGTTGATAAACACTGGACTAGAGACTTTGGTCTCCATAAAAACTAAAAAGCAGGGACATCTTAAGCTCTGATCTGAATATTTCTACAATACTTTTTTTTTTTTTTTGACATTGTGTTGAACAAAGCCACGCTAATCTAGGTCACTGTTGGGTATATTGAGTTTCTGAATTAAATCAGAGCAGATCCCAAAAGAAAAATCCAGATTGAGAAAAATCTACTAAAGATTCTCAGTCATCCAGGACATGATTGTTCCAAAGGTGCTTTTTCAAAAAGCAACTGGACTTTGTTTTTTGGTCTCCGTTGTGTTCGTAAGTCAAGGACTACCTGTGTCAGGAGGTTTCCTAGATTCCCCTGAAGAAGAACTGCCCAGCCAGGAAATAGGAAAATAGAAATAGAATTCTTGATTGGCCAAGTGTGATTAGACATGCAAGGAATTGGTCTCTGGTGCATAAACTCTCAGTGTACTTACAAATAACAAAGGGATAAGTCATACATCATAAATCATAAGATAAGAGACAACAATTGATAGGTGATAGGAAGTTGTCTTCTTAAGTTTATTGGGGCTTCCTCTGTTTTAATCCATGGGGAGCAAGGTATTATACAATGCTCTTTAGAAGGCCAGATCCTGAAGTGGAAACGCAAGTACTTTGGCCACCTAATGAGAAGGAAGGACTCACTGGAGAAGAGCCTGATGCTGGGAAAGATTGAGGGCAATAGAAGAAGGGGACGACAGAGAAAGAGGTGGCTGGATGGAGTCACTGAAGCAGTAGGCCTGAGCTTAAATGGACTCCAGAAGATGGTAGAGGACAGGAAGGCCTGGAGGAACATTGCCCATGGGGTTGCAATGGGTCGGACACGACTTCGCAACTAACAACAACAAGGAAGTTGTCTTCTTAAGTTTATTGGGGCTTCCTCTGTTTTAATCCTTGAGGAGAAAGGTGTTATACAATGCCCATTCATTTCAAGTTTTTAATATCTTTTTTGAGACATACAGTATAAGAAAAAGTCACGAATCCCTAAATCTCACGTAGAACATCGTGCAAAAAATTTACCTGTGAGGTCAGGTCAGCATTGCCAAGAATCAAACTGAACATGGGGAAGCTTCGGGGAATAGCACCCCTCTCCATCGTTTCCCTGCCCTTCCTAAGCCGGAATACAAAAATCATCTTTGGGTTTTCATAGAAATAAATCAATAGTGTAGTGGACCTTTGGAAACCACATACATTTTAATGGTCCTCACTCCTGCTTTGTGAGCGCGTACCCTGGGAGTGGTCTCTCTGCTTCAAAAAAAAAAAAAAAAAAAAAAAAGCCTGTTTGGGGTAATACATTTAGAGTTTCACTTTCTGAGTCCAAAACTCATGCCAAACTTTCATTTCAGCTGATTTTAGCTCAGTGTTATTGAAAATTCTCCTACCGATTTCCCTGGAGATTGCACATTTTATCATTCTCTGGAGGGAAAGCTATGTAAGATTCCATCAGAAGGTTAATATTGACATGACAGGTCCAAAGCTTTCTGCAGGCTAACAACTTCATTAAAATGTATCAGAGCTCCCTATTGCCCAGTGTGTGTGTGTGTGTGTGTGTGTGTGTGTGTGTGTGTCTCCCTGTATGCATGTGTGTGTGTGTGTGTGTGTATGTGCAGGTGCATACATTTTGTTATTTTCATTAAATTCAAACTACGGGATG